GCCGGAGCCTCTTCTCCCCCCCGGACCACGCCTTTCCCCTCGCACGTCGGCCCAGGAAAAAGGCCTCCTGCCCCGAGAGAGGTGCCAGGTGCTGCCCCGACGGAGGAGACTTTCCCCCCGGCCTCAGGCGCTCCCACCCTTTTCCTCGACGGGCGGCGTCGAGTGTCCCCTGTCAGCTCCCTCCAAGCTGGTTGTCAGCGTATTATTCCCCCCTTTCCTTCTTGCAACAGTCAAATACCTATTTAAAAGTTCGAAAGCTCCAAGGAGAGTGGTAAGGGCAGTGCTGAGGTTGAGGAGCAGTTTTCCCACCTGTTAAGATTTCCAGCTTTCACTTCTGATGTTCTTGAAACCCGCATTGAACGGACACAGGAAATGTTTGGTAATCACAGTTTTATTTACCCTTTCAGACTAGGCAGTGCTGATACTGAAAATACCATGTTTTACTGCAGTCGCAGGGCCCAGCTCTGGCAATGGGCGTGTGACATCAGGAGAGCACCTGTTCATCCCTGGCAGAAGTTAACAGGAACATTACATACACAGGAGATACAGCAAGTCTGTTACTTGGTCATTTGCCTGAGCACTCACACAGTGACACAAATGACATCTTACACCCCTCTGTTCATCAGCAGAGAAAAATACACACATCAAAGTTTTGTTGTTTGACGTCTCCCAGGTAGAAAAATTCCCCTTGTCCCCCACAGACTGGGTACAGGGGTTGCTAAACACCATGAAGAGAAAAAACTGTTAGAAGAGCTGCTGCTTTTGCAGAAGATTGTGAAAGCCAGGGGAGTGGGGAGAAGTGGCCAAATCTGTTCCTCTGGGGTTTAACAGACAAACAAAACCTTTAAATAAATGCACTAGGGCTCAAGAGTCTTCCTGATTTCACTGGACACGAGACCGAGGCCTAGACAAGCAACACACCAGTTAAAGAACCTTGAAATTACCTAACTAAAATTATTAAAAAACCTGTTGGCTATACCTAACCAGTTCACCTGTGATGATTACTACACATAGAAAGGAGGAGGCCATTATGCTTTGAGATCCTTTGCTGGATGTTGTCTTCAGGCCTCAGTTGCCTTTTGGTCTAACACTTAAAAATAAATTTACTATCTCCATGTTTTTTAACTTTCTTTACTAACTATATAAACAGAAACAGGAGCTCCATAGCTTCAGATAGGTTGGGGTTTAAACCATTAAAAGAAGCAGCAGAGGAAAAAAGTTTAGTCTCCATTTAGAGTTTTGAGCCTACTTTGCACTGTAACAAATATTGATAATTGTGTACACAGTATTTAAAAATGAAGGGCATGATCCTGCAGCCCTTATTCCTCAGAAGGCAGCAGATGCCAGTACCCAGCAAGATGGCCTTATTTTAAAAAAGTCTATAAGCAGGACATGAAGCACAAACTTACTTGCAGCACTGCATGACAATTACAAAAAGATAATTTCCAAATCTGCAAAAACTTCAGCATGTTCTCAAGCTATACATACTAAAAAATCACCAATGTCAGCATGTCTTCAGACTGCAAATTATGTCTAATGGCTTCCTGTAGATACACAGCAAACATCTTTTCTTGATAAATAAACTGCTGATCAGCACAGTGAGGAGAGATACCTAGGTCGAGGTGAACAGCCAAGCAAGTGCAGAGGTATTCTATGAAGAATTTATTTTCGTTGCCTCAACAGCTGCTTCAATCTCTTCCATGATTGGCACTGGCCCTGCATAGTTATTAGTTTCAATAGCTTCTAATTTATGTTGATAGTCAGTTGGCAGGCCATTCTGTTTTGCACCCATGCAGATAACCTATAATCAAAAGGAGGGGAGGAGGGAAAGTGCCTTCATTAACAGTGTTAGGAAGGACAGACCCCTCCAAACATTTACTCATACAAGAACCACCCACTACTTGATGTAAAAAGAGAATTAATCCCAAACAATGTGATGTGTACCTGAAGATTGCCAAAGGCTTCTGGAAGACCACCGAAGACTTTTAACAGCATAACAAAAATTACTCTGAAAAGGCTTGCAACTACCAAAGCACACCTCTAAGATTCTGAAATGCTACTATAGCACACACAACACTGCACAGTTAAGCTGCTCTTCAGTTATTCAATTATTCCAGGGAAGATGAGAACTACTTTTTATGCCTTTAGCCAGCCTTTCCATCACATCTGAGTGAGATACAGCATCTATGACTGAAGTTATTTTTAAAACTAAGCTGAAATGAAGACACAGATATATACACACAGATTTTTAACGGATAACAATACTGTAAATATTCTTTCATGCAAACGACAGCCAGGAAATTCAATTATGGGGTGTCTAGAAAAGATGAACTTTGCCACAAGGAGTACACAACAACAGAGGGATGTAGATCACTATGTGCCAGTGCAGTCACCTGTACTAAGTTCTTAGCCCTCCTACCTGGTTAAGTTAAATAAATAAAAACCGGGGGTGGGGAAGGAGAAAAAATAATTT